CGAAGCCAAGAGCCAGGAGCTTCTTTCCCATCTCCCACACGGGTGCAGGGGCCCAAGGACTTGGGCGATCTTCCACTGCTTTCCCAGGCCACAGCAGAGAGCTGGAGAAGTGGTGCCCATATGAGATGCAGGCACTGCAGGCGGCAGCTTTACCTGCTACACCACAGTGTCGAACCCTTACTGCCACTTCTTACTTGGAATATTAAATACTTGAGACAGGAAGTAAATGGCATGCTTTTCTGAAAGAAAGTAAACCAGTTTCTAATACTTGTGGGTATTTTTGCTAACTTAACGAAAAATCTCTGCCTTCCTTCCTCACTGAACAAGGTGGAGAGACTCGGACTTTTTTGCTACCTCTTGGATTTTTTTTTTTTTTTTTTTTTTTTTTTTTTTTATTCTTGATGACAGTACCGTGGTGACTAGCGGCTGAGGCGGTGACTGGTTGTCTGTTTTCCTCCTGGTGTGCTGGGAGCACCTGCGGCTCACTCTTGCTCCGGGAGAGTGTCCTGCCATCCGGAGCCCACAAGCCTCCATTCTGGGTGCAGGTAAGCCCCCAGGTGAGGCCAGGAGTCCCATTGACCTGAGTGACAGGGAAGCCATGAAGAGGAAGCAGCTTAGCCAGGGCCAGGATGAGGCGGAAGTGAGCCCCACCCCCTAGCCTGCCTCCTCACCTTCTCCCCCAATGCCTGTGAGAACAGCAGCCTGGAAGGGCAGTGGTCACTGCCAAGTAGCAAGAGTTGTGGGAGGAGCTGACCGCCTCCGGAGCGGCTGAGGGGCTAGTCACCACCCACCCAAAGGCCGGCCGCGTCTGGAAACCACCCTCGCCCCTCACCTTGGGCCTTCTCAGCCAGCGGCTGGCACCTCCACGGGCCCGAGTGAAGGGCAGACCACCGCCAGGACTCTGGCTCCCTGCCCTCAGCCTCCGGGGAGCTGCCGGGCTGAGCCAGCAGGGCTTCATCTTCAGTTGGCTTCATGCTTCTCTTTTCTTGCTTTTCTTTGGGTTTTAAGTTCAGGACAACAACAACAAATCCGGAGGTGTCCCCCACCCCAAAGCCCTGCATTGACCTCCTGCGGATGACAGCCAGTGTGCTCTGGGGTAAGGGCCTTCGGGCCACAGGAGGGCTCCTGGCGGAGCGCTCCACGCGCACTCCAGCCCCGAGAGGGCGCCTCTTCCCTTCCTTCCGGGCGGGCAATGAAGAGCTAGACCTTGCGGCTCGAGTTCCAGCGGTTCAGCCTGCGGAGGGCCCGAGTGGACTTGCCAGGCCCCCTGCTCTCGCCAGCCCACCCCAGTCCCAGTCCGTCAGCACTTGAGCCACAGGACACAAGTCTGTACTGCCCAGGCCATACGCCTGGCCTCCCCCTGTGCTAGTGGCACCTGTCAGGTGACTCTGGAAAATAGGGACTGGAAGCGGAGAGCCTCACCCAGTGTAGGTATTGTAGGGAGCCCTTTTTGTATTTTTTGTTAATATTTATTTATTTATTTGAAAGGCGGAGTTACACAGAGAGAGGAGAGGCAGAGACAGAGAGAGGGGTCCTCCATCCGCTGGTTCGCTCCCTAGCTGGCCACAGCGGCCCAAGCTGTACCTATTCAAAGCCGGGAATCAGGAGCTCCCTCCGGGTCTCTCACGGGGCTGCAGGGGCCCAAGGACTTCGGCCATCCAGGCCATAGCAGAGAGCCGGATTGGAAGTGGAGCAGCTGGGACTCGAACCAGCGCCCATATGGGATGCCAGCACCACAGGCGGCGGCTTAACTCACTAAGCCACAGTGCAGGCCCTCGTTTTTGTATTTTAATGAGAAAGCTAAGCTCTAGTTCCCACTTTAAGATGTTAAGAATTTGTGAGTCTGGGCAGGGTTAACACAATGCTTGGTTTTGTTTTCTGTTTCCATGGGTTCCACTTGTGAGAAAGTGTGTGTGAGATTTAAAAACCTCACAAAGAAATCAGGCCTTTGGAGGCCACGGAAGCTTGCAGTTCTCTCCTTTAGTCACTTAATTCCTGAATGTTTCTGAGAAACAGGAAATAGAAAATAGCAGATGTCACCCAGGAAAGAGAATAAGCAAAACAAAAAGGAAAAAAAAAAGTCATATCCAAATTCACCAAACCGGCTTTTCTAAACGAAAGCACATATTGAATGAGTATGGAAATCAGTGGGCTCAGGAAAAAAAAAAAGATACTAATGCATTTAGTCCATAAACTTGAACAGTTTATTATGTGCATAAACTTGAACAGTTTCAGACTTCAGCAGCTGTGAGAGCAGTCAGGAGCCCGCGAGTGCTTCTAGGTGGGCCTGGATGCAGTCCTGCGGGCGGGGCAGGGGCTGCAAACCTGCCTGGGCTCACTGAGTCCTCATCCCCATTCCTGAGGCATCAGCAAACCCAGCTGGCACCTAAAAGCTGTGCCTCAGCTTACCAGTCCCTGGGGCTCGCTGGCACAGCAGTTCTGGCCAGCAGGCACACTAGGATTGCTCTTCGTCTCTGGCCACAGGACCCGAATCTGGACTTGGGAGTTGGGGTGAGATTGCTGTTCTGCCCTTGACCTTCAGGTGGGCTGATGTGAGGGTCTTATGGCCCTTGCACAGCTCGTGTCGACTCCCATGAGACCCCAGGGATGACCCCCCTAATCCCCAACCCAGACAGAAGGCATTCACTGAGCCTTCTACACCTACACAGAGGGTTGAAACACTCTGACCAGTGTTGTTTTTGTATCCTTATGTTTGTGCAGTGATGAAAATATTTCTCAGACTTGTAGTGAGTGCTAGGGCAGCAGGCAGGGATGCGCCACCGCCCGTTCCCAATGGACACTGCCATAAGCAAGGGCTACTCTAGGATTGAAAATAAAGGCGGCAGGGGGTGGGGGGATAAAAGAGAAATTTTAGGCGTGCAAGAATCTCAGAGATTTGCACCATAGCCATTCACCTTAGGCTGTGAAATCAATAATCCTGACTCAGACTGACTGCCAGTATCCATGTCAGTGTGTGTTTCCGTCCTCACTGCTTGGGGTGCCATCAGTATTCCTTGGACCTGAGTCCCTGTTAAAAGTGTGCTCTCTGGGCTGCTGAGCGGAAGACCACTGCCCTCCCGCCGCTGTCCTGGGTGAGGGAGGCCAGGTCTCAGGGAGCCAGAAGCAGCAACCATCCTGCCTGGGAGACAAAACCAGGCCTGAAAACGCAAAGGGGTTTGCTCTCAGCTCTGCCATGCTGCCCACCAAAGGACCAAGGTCATCCTATGCGCAAGACTCACACTGGGCCCCTGCTACTGGTCTTGGACCTAAGGAGCAGAGCTTCAGTATGACATTCAAACCAGGGGTAGATGTGAACTGTTGGAGTTGAGGCTCCATACGAAGATGTCCCCAGCTTCAGGCACCCACTTTAATTTTTCACAGGTTATTCTCCTCATACCTCATGTTGCTATTTATTGCCGTAATTTATTCCTCAAAACTGCTGCACAACAGACCTTACTTGGGGCTGGGAGGATCCCGAGCACTCCCTTCCACTCACTTGACAGGTACTGAGGGGTATATCTTTGACTCTCCCCACCCATCACTTGCTTCCCTTGCCCGTGGGGGGCTCAGGTTGGGCAGTAGCCCATTTGCAAATATCTCAAGAGGGAATGGAACAGTGGGCTTAGACCTGTTTTGTTTCATTGAAACTGGAAGAGGGTCATGTCCTGATCTCCCCCCTTACCATAGGGCAGGATTCCCAAGATCTCATTCCACAGTGGCCACACTGAGTCACTCATTGAGTACGCATCCCTCATGTCAGCTCAGAGCTGCACCTACGTAGTCCTCTAGTGTCATAGAAGAAAGATTCACCACCAATTGATCTCTCCCTGCAGAAACATGCAATCTTAATGTACAGCAATGAGAAACTGTTATGATTTTTCACTAAGATAATGACTGAACAAAAACTCAACATTTTATTGTGATTGTACTGGAATTTTATATCATGGAACATTCCAATCATTGGGGGGGTCTTTTAGGATGATGATTATGGTCTCATTTTTCATTAGAGCTGAAGTAAAATGGGTGTGTGTAATTTTTACTGTATAATCAAGCTGTAGTTTTATTATATGAACAATTTTCTACTCACTGAAAAGTTATACAATCTCAATATATGCATTTTATTTGTATATTTTTTCAATGTTATATTTCCTTTAGAAGTATTGTGCAAACAAATGCATTCAAATCCAAAAGTAAAATTGGACTCAAAATTCTTCGTTTATTATGTTCACTCTCATGACCAGATAGATAAATGAAATAATATTTCTATTTGTGGTATTGACTTGGATGAGCAGTCATTGCCCTACACATTGTATAGATGGACATTGCATGGGATATTGAAAAAGAACAAAACAAAACAGGGGAACAGTGTTGGGTTACAATGGTTTACCCCATGCTGGCATGCCATATCAGACTGTTGGCTGAGTCCTTGCTTAACCATTTCTGCTTCAGCTTTCTGCTGATGCACCAGCAAGGACAGCAGTATATGGACCAAGTACATGGGCCCCGCTATCACAGGGCAGAGCAGGATAGGTGTGGTTCCTGGGGGAGCCATTTGGGATGTGAACCAAGAATGGAAGATCTCTTTCTTTCTCTCTGTGTTTCTCCCTACTTCTGTCACTCTGCTTTTTAAGAAAACATATAAATAAATCTCTAAAAAACTAAATAAAAAGGAAAAGATTAACTAAGAAGGATTCCAATACTTGAAGGTATATATAGCAAATGACTTAGAGGAATATATTTAACAAATGCACAAGAGTATTAACTACTTTTATGATTTAAGTATTATTAGTCATTTACAAATCTGAAACCCCCAATTCCAAAATATGCATGTCATATATTTAACATCTGCATATGTCTTGATTAAGGTATAGAAATCATTAGCTTCATTCAAGCCACTAGAACACAAATTACTTTGAAGCATGCTGGGAGAAAGAAGAGTATGAAACTTCTTAATTTTAAAGCCTAAATAACCAGTAAAACACATTTTTCCTCTTTCACAGAGATATACAAAGAACTAAATGAGAAGGTATGGGCACTGCTACTGTGACTCAGTTGGCGTCATGCATCACCATGATCAATTTCTGCTTCTGCTTCCAATCCAGCTCCCTGCTAATGCTCCTGAATAACAAATGGCTCAAGTATAAAACCATTTCATCCTCAGAGGATGGAATGATATTCCTAGTTCCTGGCCTTAGCTTTGGCGTAGCCCAGCGTTGGGTGTTACAGGCATTTGGTGAGTTAACCCATGGATGAAATATTCTCTTTCTCTGTCTCTCTGTATTCCAATAGATAAAATTAATAGACATTTTAAAAATTGATATGATAGATGTTAAATTAATTTGTTTCATATTTCCACAAAACAGCATTCATTCACTCAATAATATCCAGTTTAAACAAACACTGCTAAGTGTATCATTTCAAAGAATACAAGAAATTCTGGCTTTCATATATCTTGTATGCTGCTGGGAGGAAAATGAATATAAAAGTTAATCAAAGTAAAACAAAATTATTATGTAAATTATAAGTAATCTGAAAGAAATAAACACAATCATGAGATACACCTTAGCAGTGGGAAATGAAAAAAGTCTAATTTTGACAGGATTATCAGTAAAGATCTCACTGAAAGTTTAATATTTGAGCTGAGATTTGAAGAATATAAAGGAGCCAAGCACACCCAAAGAAATAACTTTTAATTCAGATATGCAAAATTAGCAGATAAGAATTGTCTCTCTGTCTCTCACACACAAACACACATATACAAAAATACAGAAACAAAAACAAAAACTCAGTAACAGAAGAAAGTTGAAAAGGAAAAAATCTGCAAAGCTATAGGAGACACAATGTGGAGTATGGTTGGCTATGACACACTTAAGCTAAATCTGCCACTACCTGGTTCTATTTTATAAAAGATTTTAACTTGCATACAATATAAATTATTATCAGAATAGTTAAAAAAGGCTTATGAATTAAGTGACTTCTGAATTCAAATTGGAAGCGCACTTCATTAAAACAGGTGAAATGATAAAATATATATTTTTAGATTTAGAACTTTAATGTTTTTGGATGAATTGGATAAACAGCATGGAGATATGGAGTCAACCTTGATGCCCACTAATTAGAGAATGGGAGAGGGAGGATCCACAGAGGAAGCAGTGGAGAGAGGTAGACTCAGAAAGAGAGAGAGGCTTGAGTCATCACCTGCTGTTTGTGCTGCCACCCATGTGCACATTTACAGGAAACTGGAATCAAAAGCTGAACCTTTACTCCAATTCAGGCATTCCTTTATGGAATGTGGATGCCCCAGTTGGCATATTTATGTGTCAAACATCTTCCCTAATCCAAATTTATAAAAGAAAAAATTGTTTAAGAAAATGGAAATGCTAGCTAAACTGATTTTATCATTACCTGTATGTACTGAAGACTATCTAACACGATACTCACAAAAATACAATAATTTTTAAAGATTTATTAAATTTATATGAAAGGGTAACAGAGGAGCTGGAACTGTCGTGTAGTGGGTAAAGCCAGCGCCTGCAGTGCTGGCATCCCATATGGGCACCGGTTGGAGTCCCGGCTGCTCTACTTCTGATCCAGCTGTTCTGGGAAAGCAGTGGAGGATTGCCCAAGTCCTTGGGCCCCTGCACCCCTGTGGGAGACCTGGAAGAAGCTCCTGGCTCTTAGCTTCGGATGGGCGCAGTTCCAGCCCATTGCAGCCAATTGGAGAGTGAACCTGCAGATGAAGGAGGATCTCTCTCTCTCTCTCTCTTTCTGTCTCTCTCTGTCTCTCTTTCTCTCTGTGTGTAAATCTGACTTTCAAATAAATAAATGAATCTCAAAAAAAAAAAGAGTAAGAGAGAAAGAGAGCGAGAGCGAGAGCGAGAGCGAGAGAGAGAGAGAATCTTCCAACTGCTAGTTCACTCCAGGAAGCTGGATCAGAAGTGGAGTAGCCAGAACTTGAACCGACTCCTATACAGGATGCAGTTCTCAAAAGCAGCAGCTTTATACACTATTCCAAAAACCAGCCACTTACAATAACATTTACCTAGAGAAGTTTGAAATTAAAGCCCATATTCACAGGTCTTTTCAGATATAACTTTCATTACCTGAGATCTCAAATGTTGGTCAATGAAAATATTTAAAGAGATTCTAAAGTGGTAAGAAATAATTTCTTGAGGAATAGATCTTCATGCTAGTCCTCAGAAGAAATCCATAAATATTTTGGAAAAAAATAAATAGTTCAAAAGAAAAATATCAAGTACAAAGGAAAACAAGCATGATTTGTGATGATCAGCATAAAATGCAGGAAAACCTTTACCTGCTTGTATTTGCATAATGAGTTTAGTACAGCTAACATTTTATCTGCTTTAATTGAAAAATTTAATATGCAGAAATATCTACAGGAATTGGGAAATTGTAAAAATAATCAAATAGATGTTTTAGAAGAGCATATTACATCTTTAGAAATTAAGAACATAATTATAGAAAGTAAACATTAATGAGAGATTCACTTTTAAGTAAAATACAGTGAATCAATCACATTTAGCTATGATCCTCTTGCAACAAAGAAAAAAAGGCGATACAAAAAGTATATTGTTTTTAAAGAATTAGGACTACTTGGTAACAAAATAAAAATAAAGGAATTTAAATTCCAGAGAGGCAACCCTTTAAAAGTGACCAGTTTCTCATTGAATATTTTCTTTTTATAATGTTTGCCAAATCCAAGCATATACTGATGCCTAGTCTTGGCCTGTGCAGAGCTACCATAATGAGGAAAGAAAATATATCTGTTTTGGTGTTTATGGAGTTCTGGTACAAAAATCTTGAAAATCCAGAGTCCCAAATGTGTTTTCTTTCTTAATCCATTTATTTAATTACTTTTAAGTGGGAGATTAAGAGTTTCTGGAGCAAAATGGCATTTTTTTGGAGTTTTGTGGTATTTAAAACACTCATGTCTTTTTTAAAATATTTATTTATTTGAAAGAGTTACATGAAGGGGAGGTAAAGAAAGAGAAAAAGAGAGAGAGAGAGAGACCCTCTATCCTCTGACACACCCCCAAAATATCCGTAATGGCCAAGGCTGAGGCAGGCCAAAGCCAGGAGCCAGGAGTTTATTCCAGGTTTCTCACATGGGTGGCAGGGGCCCAAGTACTTGGACCATCTTCTGTTGCTTTCCCAGGCACATTAGCAGGGAGCTGATTTTGAAGTGGAGCAGCCAGAACAGGAATTAGCACCCATATAAGTTGCTGATCCAGCTCCACTAATGCACCTGGGAAATCAGCAGAAGATGGCCCAAGTACTTGGCCCTGCTCCCCTTGTGGGAGACCCAAAAGGAGTTCCTGGCTTCAGGCTTCAGGTTAGCCCAGCCCCACTATTCATTCATTTGGAGAATGAACCAATGAATAGAGGATCTTATTCTCTCTGCCTTTCAAATAAACAGGTAAAACCTGGGGTAGAGGGGGACCCTCTTAAGAAAGGGTCTTCTTCTACTCAAGAAAGGGTTATTATAAAAATTATAGAGGTGTTACCCAAAAATATAAAATTTAATAAGCACAAAAATATAATATAATATTGTGTGGAGAAGGGAGACAAACTGTGAAACTTGAAACCTCTAAGGTTTTTAAATATCAGAACTGAGAATTTCCAAATCTTCAAATAAAAATCTGTAAGGAATATATTCAGGGAACAGAAAAGAAGCAAAGCAAAAATGATTCTTCCTGAAATTCAAATTCTTTCCTAAATCATGAGGTCTCTGATTGGAGTGAGAGGATCCATCAGTTCCCTCACGGTGGAAAGTGGAAATTATTTTGTACAAAGAAGGAACTTGGAACTTATTTTTTGACTCTTGATATTTTGTCTAGAATAACATGGAAATTGTTGTGCATGCCTAGAGAAAAGATAATGAGACCCTTAATGAAGAAAAATAAACACCCATTAGAATCAGACCTAGAGAAAATCTGCTAGACATTAAGGTTAGCACATAAAGATTTTAAAACAATTTGAAATAATATAAATTTAAAGGAATTATTAAAACTGTTAGACAAACAGGCACAAAGAAGGACAGAATAAATAAATCATATATACATTATATAACTAATAAAATAAATCATATATACATGATATAAACATGATATATGCATATCATGTATTAAACATATATACATGACATAAAACAAAACAATCATAAATAAAACACTTTGGATAATTTCAGCATCAGAATTGGCATTGAAAAAACACAATTTATTTTATATCTGTTCAACATAAAATACCAAGACTGAAGCTAGAGAGAAAGAAAAGACAAAAAAAATCAGTCCTGAGAAACATAGAAAACAGAGTAAATGTCTGAAATACCGGTAAATGGAGTCCTAGAAGAGGAAATGAAGCAGAAAATAACATACACAAGAGTTTTGCAAAACTAGCACAGCATTCAAGAACCTAACTGAATTCAAAAGTGAGAGGCAAAGCAAGGAAAACTTAATTATATACATCATAGTCAAACTTCTGAAAATGAAAAATGAAAAGCAATTTCTCAAAGCACCTTGAGAGTAAACATATATTCCTTCAAAGATCAGTTGTAAGATTTGTACGTAAAACTTAACGAAGTCAATTCGTTGGAAATCCAGTATGACTACAATAATTTGAAATGTCTTTTAATCCAGATATTAAAAAACTACAGTCAATATAAATTTTCATAGCAAAGTAAGATGAATAGCAATATTTCAAACAAGAAAACTGAGGTAAGTTGTCATCAACATTTCTGCATTGGACAGAACCCTAATTTTGTTTAACTTGCTGAGTGGTCTTTTACAAGTTAATTCATTTTCTGTGTCTGTATATTTGCCTGTAGATATGAGATGCAAAAACAGCACAACTCATAGAGGTGTTTAGAAGATAAATACAGTAAGATTCTTAAATCTGTTTCTAACATATAAATATATATATATATCATGCTATTTTATCAGTATTCAGCATCATACAAAATCAGTATATATGTTTGCATAGTTTCTCCTTATTAAATAAATTTGCTTTGATCATTGAGATAAAGATTTATAAGGATACAAAAATCTAAGAATTTGGAATTACTGCAAATTCTTTTCCATATGTAAATCTCCACCTTCTTATTTGTTATATTGATTTATGCTGGTCTAGTTATATTATTTCCTTTTGCCTCCTTTTCTGCTTCTATAATGTGTAAATATCATTTGTCACTAATTCATATAGGTGTTGTGAGTATTAAGAAAGCAATGTATAATGAAGATCATCAACATATATTAATATTCCAACATAATTCAATTTTTAAAAGTCATAGAGAATATTAAACATATAAAATAAATAATTTTCTGATTTGCTAATGATTACCCCATAAAGTAACATTTATTACAGTGTTCTCGATTTTATTTGTAAGTAACAATGATTTTCATTAATAAATTGCATAGGAAAATGATATTCATTCTATTTAAACTTTTGACTACATTTTATTTACTAGTAAACTTAATTACAACTATTTTTCTTCCCAAATGAAACAATGACATATAGTTGTGATTTTTTTTTTATTTTCTTCTTTGAGCTAACAACAAAATGAGTCGAAGAGGGGAAAAAATGTAATGAGGCTAATTAAATGTTGAATGGACACATTGAGCTTGTAGATTATTAGTGTTTTATATCCTCAGAGATGGTTTTAATGTGCTTTTTCTCCCAGTGCTGAAACCCTTCTAAAATATTCCTAATTATTATGCATTCTACATCTAATGGAAAATGACTAGTTGTTAGAAAGTACCTTCGGGTGTTGAGCCCAATTTTCCATTTTTGTTACATTCACCTGAATGCCCTTCAATTGGCCATAAGAGGTTTTAAAGAATCTTCAATATAGCAAATTAAAAATACTAGAACACAATTTAAAAACCAACAAAGCCTAACTTTTGATAAATCAACTTTATTTCTGACATTTTAAAGACATTTAATTTCTACTTGTTCTGCTTGCTCTCAAGAAGTAAATTCAGTATCCAACATCACTTTGTTCTGCAAAAGTTTAACAATTAATTTTATTTCAGGTTTTTAATACGGTTTACTAACTTTAATGTTTTAATAACATTTAATATTTTTAAAATATATTTATTTTATTTATTTGAAAAGCAGAGTTACAGAAAGAGATAGAGATGGAAAATCTTCTATCTGCTGGTTCACTTCCCAAATGGCTACAACGGCAGAGCTGGGCTAGACAGAAGCCAGGGGTCAGCCAGGTTTCCCACATGGATGTAGGGACCCCAACACCTGAGTAATCTGCTGCTGCTTTCCCAAGTGCAGAAGAGGAACTAGTGAGACTCACAGGCATCCATATGAGATGCTGGCATCCCAGGTGGCAGTTTAATCCACTACATGACAACACTGGCCCCTATTTCATTTTAAAATATATTTCAACTATGGAGAGATTTGTTTCCAAAAATGTCTGTGTATCATGCAGTAATAAGCTAAAAATCTGGGTCTAAGGTGATAGATTTGCTAACTATCCTGTTAAAATCAGCACACACTTACATACAGGCATGGAAATGTCACAGTGTTTCCCATAAATATGCACAATTACTGTGTGTTAAATAGAAGTAAAAATACATTTTACAAAAGGTAAAACATTTTGGATCTTCTCATAAATTTCAACAACTAAAAGAAACACAGAGGGGCCAGAGTTTTGATATAGTAGATTAAGCCTCCACTTTGTGATGCTGGCATCCCATAATATGGGTGCAGGTTCAAGACCTGGATGTTCTACTTCCGATCCAGCTCCCTGCTGGTGTGCCTGGGAGAGCAACAGAAGATGGCTCAGATGCTTGGGTCCCTGAACCCACATGGGACAGCCGGCAGAAGTTCAAGGCTCCTAGCTCCAGTCTGTACCACCCATGGCAGTTGCAGACATATGGGGAGTAAAACAGCAGATAAACAGAATATAAAAGACCTCTCTCTCTCTCTCTGCAACTGAATCAAATAAATAAATAAACAAACAGGAGAACTGAGAAGCTCATCACATATAGTGGGTATAGTGTGTATATTAATAAAAAACTATTTGATATCCTACTCTATATTAATTACAGCTCTACAAAATGATTAAATATATGTTAGTTTTAAATATCAATAAACTGTTCTATTAGAAAAAATAATTTTATTAAGAGTATTGAAGAAAAACTTGGAAATCTCTGGAACCATAAAAATGTATTGCATCTTTTTATTCAAGCTCAACTATGGGTAAATAATGATTAACAGGAAGCAAAAATGTCTTTGATAATAAGGATTTCATTAAGTAGGATATAAAAAACAGGAAGAGAAAGAATTTTAAACAAGTTAGCCACTTTATGGACAGTGCCTAAATCAAATCTACATTTTTTTAAGTGAGGCATCTATAATGGAGATTAATAAAGCTCACCCCAGGAAAACAAAGGATAAGCTTTAAAAAGGCAGTTCTTTCTGCTGCTGAAGCTAAAGCCAGAATTACCCTGCAGGAAATTTTGATTCTCTGGTACATTTAAATAGTTCTCATTTACAAAATTGGAATAAGACAAAAGAATTTAAGGAAGAGCCCCTTTGTTACATTTTGGATCACAGCATTCCCTATAAAAGATCTAATTTTTAAGTAGAAAAATTAATAAATATTCAGATGATGGAGACAGAATTATATAACTGCCCCTCCAACTAGCTTTTCTGAAAATAGTGAAACTGGATAATTGCTCATGTGAAGTCTGCTTACAATTCTGTATCACAGCTTTCCAATTACATTTGAGAAAAAAAATTGCTGGAGGATATATTTTTCCTTTCCTTCTTGCAATTGAGCAATAATCTGTTAAAATCATTCCTAGATGTACCTTCAGACATTCAGTGTTCTGATTCTAAACAACCTAGTTTAGCCCTTATAAATGCAGGAACATATCCTATATTAATCCTTTCTGCTTAGCCTCTCAGCAGGATGAATTTAAAATCATCTCAATGGTCCCAAGCAATAAGTAAAAAAAAAAAAAAGAATCATAGAAAAGTCTTAATAGATCATTCAGATCACTCTGATGTCAGAGAAATAATACTGCTAAATGCAAGCTTCACTGTTTTAGTTCAGACTCATTTTCAAATTCCAAAGTAATGGAATTTTAATATCAAGAAGAGATGTTAATCACAAAAAATTGTATCATTATGCAAAGATAGTTCAGTGAGAATTTGCTCATTAAGATACCAGATTTGAGTTGCTCATTATACTAGGTGCCCCAAGGGATTGGTTTACACTCAAAATTGATGAATTTGATAAGAATTTTAAAAGATTCTATTTAATTGCAAATAATTGTAATGATACGAAAATTCCATAAAATAAATAAATTCTGTCACAAGAAAATGACCAAATACATAAAATAATCCGTTAATGGTATTAATTTTGTCATTAAAAATTGGAATATTCATTCAAATAAATTTTGTTAGTATATGCATAGAGGTAATTAATTGTATTATAAAAACACATATAAAAATTGTTAAAGTATAGAAAAAACTTTTATAACTAATATGGTTGGACATTTAGCTCAGCAACAAAAATGTCAAATACACTGCCTACATCCTATATTGGATGCCTGGGTATGAGACCTGAATCAAGCTGAGGATTCCAGTTTCCTGCTAATATTGACTTAGACAGGCTGTGGATTTCTGTCATTCATGTGGAAGAACTCGGGTTAAGCTCCCAGTTCCAGGCTTCAACCTGGCCCAGTCCTGGATCTTGCAGTCATTTGAGGATTGAGCCATCTGATAAAAGCTCTCTGTCTTTGCGCTCTCTCTTGTTTCTTCCTCTCTCTCTCTCTTTCACTCTCCCTCTCAAATAACAAGCAAATGAACTAACTCACTAAATAAGTAATATATAATAGATAATCTTGGTTCTTTGTAGCTAAACCTTTAAATGTAACACCACAGCATTTTACTACAACTATATTTTTTCAAAACTTTAAAATTATTGAAATTGTTGGTGAAAAATGCACATTCTCCCTAACATTTAAATATAAAAAAGACAGAAGTACACTGCTGTGTATATTTTCATTTAACATTTTATTTGAAATATTTAAATGGAGGAGAAATATCCTTCATTATTCATTAAAGAGGTGTGGAAGTATTTGCACAAATAATATAGGATTTAATAATGTCTGGATTTTTATAAAACAATAATGGAAATGGCCTTGATACTTACAATAGAAGAGTAATATGATATGGAACGATCTCAAGTTAAACAGTTATTATTTTATGGATATCCTTTTGATCCTGATGATTGGATTTGAGACTAGAATCCTATCTTGCATGACCTTGGTTCAAATATGTATCAGTTCCGTTATATTGCACAGTCCACATGATGAAAAGTGCAAACCGTGAAACTGTTTCCAAATTAAATTATTACCAGTGGGAATTGGGTAAATGTTAATTTTAACAACATTACTTGAAAAGTATTTTATCATCCACATGAGTAGTTTCCCTCAATGGAACATATTCCTACTGAAAAGGCAAGCAGTTTTGTGTTTTGGTTCCAGGTAAGATGGAGTAACCATATCCTGTCTGTCCCATTAAGCACAAATACAAAGCCCACCAAGAATGTATGAAGCTACTCTTTGAGTACTATGCTAAGGTGAAAATCAGTGAAGATTGATTGGGGAAGAATTCAAGACAACACTGAACTGAGGGTGAATTACTCTTTTTCCACTCTTTTCCAGGCTGTGACCACAAATTCTGAACACAACCTAAGCCACAAAAATGAACACTGCTATATATACAAAGATTATATCAGAAAAATCTCTTATCCAGTTCACAGAGCTGGAAAGTAAACTTCTAAAACTCCCTCAGGGCGAGACATCACATAGATCAAAATAGCATACCACAGGAGCTAGAACTCTGAGGAAGAGGGGCCTTCTTGGCTGATTGTGGAAGCCGCTTTCAGGGGGATGGAACACATCATTGTTTTAGACTCCCAGGATACTCCTAGGACTTAGCAACTGATGTGGGAGTAGTTACCAATTGTGTCCAAGAGTCAATAAGTGAAGCCCAGATTTCTAGACAAAAGACAGAAGGAGAGCCCTAACAAACCAAAAGAAGTAGAAACACTAAGTGAGTATGTGGGAAAATGACTATTAACCTTGTATTCAAAGCCCTACACATTCTCTTGATTTGAATGGGAAAATAGAAGCAGCAGCAAGTCAAAGATGCATGAGGAATCAAGTGTAAATGTCACTTAGAAAATATAATTAGATGTAAGAAAAAAATTCACCAGATTAGCTCAATTGAAATGAAAAAGAAAAGAAACAGTGAACTTGAAGATAGATCAATAGAAATCATTCAGTGTGTGTACAAAGGAAAACATGAAAACCAGAAACAAATTCTCAGGACTCGCTAGTAAATGAACAAAGGACGAAATTTTCATTTGATAGGCATATCAGTAGAAATGAAACAAAAAATATAGTGCTGAAAATATTTACAAATTTGCCTGATAATTTTCTAAATTTGATAAAAGATCTAAATCTATAAATTTGCAAATCTCAGAGACCCACAAATAAAGTAAATTATCTGATTTTTTATTTAACTATCAAGATTTTTTGACTGCCTCTACATAATGATAAAACTGTTGAAGACTAAGATGGGCAACCTATCCTACAAGCAAGCATAATAAAAGTAAACATGTCCTGAAAATGTTTTGAGTGAATACAGATTTCTTTTTTTCAAAAAATATATTTATTTATTTTATTTGAAAGTCGGAGTTACACAGAGATAGAAGGAGAGGCAGAGAGAGAAAGAGGTCTTCCTTCTGCTGGTTCACTCCCCAGATGGCCACAATGGCCAGAGCTGTGCCAATCTGAAGCCAGGAACCAGGAGCTTCTTCTGGATCTCCCACTTGAGTGCAGGGGCCCAAGGACTTGGGCCATCTTCTGTTACTTTCCCAGGCCATAGCAGAGAGCTGGATCAGAAGTGGAGCAGCCAGAACCCAAACTGGCACCCATATGGGATGCTGGCACTGTAGGCAGCAGCTTTACCCACTCTGTGAATACAGATTTCTGACAGGCACTTAGAGAGAAAAAATGGGCATAGTATTTTAAAGTGCTGAGGTAAAAGTCTATAGCAAATGGAACTTCACTGAAGGAATGAAGGTGAAATAAAAACATTTTCAGTTGAAGAAAATCTGAGGGAATACTTTACTATCATATTTGCCCTTAAAGGATGGGTACTGCAAGAAAGATCAAGACCGAATAGAAATAATGCTAGTCAGAAACTTGGAATGTTGATTATGTGCCAAGGGCAATGGCTTGGTAAATATCTGGGTAAATTATTTACCTCTTGACTTTTTTGCAAAGCAGTTGATGATTAAAACAAAAATTATGGCACTACCTGACTTACTTGTCAATCTACATATAGGTAAATTTTAGAAAACTAGCATGTACAAGGGCTTAGAAAATAGGCTTTCTGCATGCTTCATTGATTTGTAGGATGTTGTATGTAAGTATATTGTGAAATGTGACTATGCATGTATAGTTATTAAATCAATTCTATAAAAATGTAAGGAGATAAAGTCACAATTACATATCTTAAAATATATTTCTATAAACACTCAAATAAAACAAGAAAGAATAAAAATCAGATGAAACAAATAAAAGCAAATGAGGAAAAGTATAAAACTGATTCTGAACACTCTCATAATGAGATTTAATTGTGTAAATATAAATGCTAACTGTCTAATGTGTCTGTATTCCACATCAGAATGGCAGGGGCCAATTTTTGGCTCCCACTCCTGAATTCAGCTTCCCACCAATGCAGACTTTGAGAAGCAGTAATGATTGCTAAAATACTTGGGTTCTTGGATTGTGTTCCAGGATCTGGGACCCAAGCCCTGCCCAGTTCCTGCTATTGCGGATAGTTTGTGAATAAGCCAGCGGATGAAAATTCTTTCTTTCTCTCTCCCTTTCTCTCTCTCTCTCTCTTTCTCTCTCTCTCTCTCACTCTCACTCTCTCTTGCTCTCTCACTCTTTCTCTCTAATGAATATATATTATTAAATTCAAGGTACCAGGTGGAAAGATGAGGCAGTACTCATGTTCCTTTGCCCCAAAGATAGGCCTACACAGGTAGTTTCAACACTCATGATGTGAAAAATTTGAAGAGAAATCTCTAATAAAATCTACAAACTAAGCTTGTATAACAATTTAACTTCTATAAAGACTTTAATATTAAAATTGAAACCCATTTGGTTTTAAATGGTATTGTACTTGAATGTATCTAAGACATAGGCCCCACTAACTACTATGCAGAAGCTAGTGTACATTCATACAGCATAGTTACATGTTAGGTACATGGGTAGGTAATCAGTGTCAACTAAGTAAGCCAAAAAAATAGATAATGTTTTCCAGTTTGCCAGTGGATAGGTATACCTGACACAGTCCATAAAGTATTAAGGAAAAATATTTAAATCTATACATATACAAATATATACATATCTATATGTAAATTTTTATTGAAGCAGATTTTAATCAAAATAAATTATGAAAAGAGTACAACTGATGGACCAGGTGGGCATCTCAGTAAAGAACAGAGAGCCCAGTCTGCATTCAGACTGAAATTTTTAATGGATTCAGTATGGGCCCTCTCTCTCTTCCCCGTTTGGTATGTGTCACTGGGTGGAGGGCTTTTTGGGTGTGTAATTCCCCAAAATTCCTAAAGAACCTCATAGTAGCCCCTTTGATAAAAGGTAGGAGAGACCACATTCAGCTGTCTCCTTCCCCAAAAGGCTAGGACCCAATGAGCCAGGTTATTGAAAAATGACAAAACTTTTGATATGTAAATGCTGGTTTGTCACTACATTTCTTCCCTCATTCAACCACATAATGGTTTAATTTGCAGTATTAATATATTCCAATCAAGACCAGTTGGCCATTTTATTAACAACTAATTTATTGATTTCTGTCAGTAAATGGGTATGATCAAATAGCCAAATGATTATAATTTTGCTCATTATTTGTGTTTTTGAGGCATTAGACATGTTTAAATAATTATTTGTAGTATATTACATATATTGGAAATATCTTTCGATAGTACCCTTTATAAAATGACTACAAACATAGTAGTATTGTTTGTGAGACATAGACCATTTTGTTAAGAATGGTACTTGTAAGAGTTGACTATTTGGGAATTTCTTGAAGAATATGTTGAGGTGAAAGGAATTAGTTAGAATGGAAATGGTAGTAAAGTAGAAAGGACTAAGGACCCCTTTGGCCATATGAAAATTTTCTTAACCTAGCTAGGAAACCAGCCTGGGCTAGGAAGAAAGTTTAATAATGGACACATAATGAATTTTGTTGGTGAGTCAGGAGAAAAGTAGGCTCTGATGTCAAGGCTACATGGAAGGCCAGGTGGCTGTGGTTGTCTGTGACCAGTCTCAGGAGTATTGTGAGGATAAACAGCTCCCCTCACAGGCCCCCAAACAGAACATTTTCTTTTTTTCTGTGAGAAATGTTTGATGTTTTATATATATATATATATATATATATATATAAACTCCACACACAAGAAAGCAGTGGAATTCTTCACTCCTCGCTATATTCACAGTTTTACCATTCCTTCCTAATAAACTTCTTTTTAAAGATTTATTTATTTGAAAGGCAGAGTTACAGAGAGGGAGAAACACACACACACACATGTACGCACACACACACACACACACATACACACAGAGGAGAGAGAGAGACAGATCTCCCATCTGCTAGTTCACTCCCCAAATGGCCACAATGGCCAGGAGAGGGCCATATTGAAGCTAAGAGCCAGATACTTCATCAGCCTCTTCCATGTGGGTGCAGGGGCCCAAGAACTTGAGCCATTTTCTGTGGCTTTCCCAGAGTGTTATCATGGAGGTGGATCAGAAGTGGAGCAGCTGGAACTTGAACTGTCCCTAACACGGGATATTAGCATATCAGGATGAAGCTGTAACAGGCTACAGGCTATTAACTGGCCATAGGGCCAGACCCCAAAGTAAACTTATTTTTGAAAATCATTTCATAGCTTGTCACAGATACAGCAAGTTCTTAGGGGTCATCTCAGCTGTTACAGAGGCATTGAGGCATATTGATAATTCTTAATTGAAAATGAGATACATTCAAAATGCTGATAATCAAGTCCTTTTTGATAGTCAAATATTATTGTATTGACCACACAGCCTGTCAATTAAATCTGACACCAATATTGAATGTAGTTAAGACAAATATCCATGTTTTAACTATTTCTGAGTATACCATTTTATGAGCACATTTGAGAAATACTATTTTAATCCCCAAAAGCCTATTAATAAGCAATTTTAGAGACTATATTTATTAAAAGTAATATTCTTTGTCAGTCTACTTATTGTATAAATGAAATAAAAATCCAAAAAATTATCTTGAAACAATTCAAGTACTTAACTCAGATTCTTCTCTCTCCATTATCTCCTTTATGAAATCAATTTTAATACTAGTGGACATTGGTACTATGTAGAATCCTATTTCTTTACTCCTTATTCATTGAAAACATTAGGAAAACACCTGCTGACCTCTTTTTCATCTATTATTTCTCCATGGTCAGCAATATCTTAATTAATTTAAAAAAATGATACTTAGATTCCAGTATCCCTGAGGAGTGTTGTATGTTGATGCCTTTTTCAGTCATGAATTGTTTGTAAGTAGAATTAGACACTGAGGACAGAATAAATGAAATTGAGAGGTATCTTGTAATGGGTGTTGCTATATATTGAAGTCTATATCTTCTATTATACATTATTGTTAAACAAAGTTGATATTTTTGTCACTCTCTTTTGTCCTTTTGCAGCTTGCCATCTAACACCATATCTTTAAATATGTTTTAAAATGTTCTTAAATTTTAATGTCAGTGTTCTTAAACTTAAGTGTTCTTAAATTTTAGTGTCAGGAGACAAAGAGAAAGCTACACAGAGCTCATGTATTATGTTTCCCAAATGTCCACAAAACTCAGGGTTGAGCAGGTAACTCCTTCTGAGACTTTCTGGTGATTAACATGGAACCAAATACTTACACAATCACCTGCTACCTCTAAAGGTATGCATTATTAGGAAGCTGAAATCAGGAATGGAACTGTTTCTTGAACCCAAGAAGTCCAATATGGAATGCTGGTATCCCAAGCAGTATCTTAAAAATTTCCCCAAAAGCCCAACCTGACATCAATTTAAAATTTTTCCTTACAACCAACAGAAAAAAAAAAAAAACAAACTTTCTTTCAAAATTCCTGTCTCAAGTGACTTTTCATTTTCTTAACAAAAAATCATCCTGACTTTTTACTTCCTTTTCTTCCCCTCTGCAATACTAAATGATCTACTAACAAGCCCTATGTGAGATTTCGTTGTAATTAAGTCAAAAATACTTCTCAGTACATCTACTCCTATCCTGAAATCCCAAACACCAACATTTCTTCCCTGGACCATTTTAATAAACCTCTAGTCAATATCTTCACTTCTACGCCTGTCTAATAACCACCCATATAAAGAGGAGACAAAATGTATATCGTTTGGAGAAATAAAGGGATGTCCAAATACAGGAAGCACATATAACTCTTAATAGACAAGACCAGAAAATATTGTGAACACAAAACGTTGTAGTCAAACTTCCCATTATAAAAAATAAAGATTCGGAAATATGCATGAGTGAAATGCCTGATAACAATCAGAAAATCTCCAATTACACTCACAGATGGCTTCTTATCAGAAATGATCCAGGCAGTAGAGAATGGCAAGATATATTGTAAGTAGTAAGAAAAAAATTCTCAACCCAAAATACTGTACCCTGGAAATTCAAAGAATTTGTCACCACTTTTCAGCCTTACAAAAGATGCTTACAGAAACATGGTAATCACTATGAAAGAAGGTGAAGGCAGAAAATATTGCAATAAAATTACAAAGGAGGTCCAAAGTATACAATGGGAATACTTATGGGAAAATGACACAGTCAAATTGTTACTTATCAATAATCACTTTGAATATAAATGTCTGTAACTCTCCAGTTAAAAGATACAGACTGGCTGAAAGGATTAAAAAACAAAACCTTCTGTATTTTGCCTACAAGAAACATATCTCACCAACAAAGACACATGCAGACTGAAAGTGAAAGGATGGAAAAAGATATTCCATTCTAGCAAAAAACAAAAAAGTGCTGGTTTAGCCATCCTAATATCAGACAGCATAGACTGTAACAGAAAATCCATTAACAAAGATAATGATCAATTCAATAGGAAGATATTGCTATTATAAATGTATATGCATGTAACTACAGGGCACCAGACTATTTAAAAGAAATGTTAATGGATCTAAAGGGAGATATACACTCCACAGTAATGGGGAACGTCTATACCCCACTTTCAGCAAGGGATAGGTCAACCAGACAGAAAATCAGAAAAGAAACAACAAAGTTAATAGACAATATAAACCAAATGGACCGAATGTACCTCTGCAGAACTGTTCTTTTTACAGAATACACATTCTTCTCACCAGTGCATAAAATGTTCTCTAGGATAGACCACATGCTAGGCCATAAAGAAACTCTTAGAAAATAAAAAAAATCGAAATCATACCATGCATCTTCTATGACTGCAGTGGAATGAAGCTGCAAATCAACAACTCAAGAATCTCTAGAACATATGCAAACACATAGAGATTGAAAAATTTGCTCCTGAATGAATAATGGGTTATAGAAGAAATCAAAAGAGAAGTCAAAAAATTCTGGAAACAAATGAAGACAACAACACAACTTGTCAGAATTTATGGGACACAGAAAAGCAGTTTAAGAGGGAAGTTTATGGCAATTGGTGCCTGCATCAAGAAATTGGAAAAGACAACAAATAAATGAGCTATCAATGAATTTCAACTACAACAAATCAAACCCAAAACTAGTAGGAGAAAAGAAATAATTAAAATTAGGGGAGAAATCAACAAAATTTAAACAAAAAATTCAAAAGATCAGCTAATCAAATCTTTTTTTTGAAAAAGTGAACAAAAAATTAGAGATGAAAAAAGGATTGCAACAGATACCATAGAAATAAAAAGAATCATTAGAAATTACTTCAAAGAGCTGTATGCCAACAAACTGGGAGACCTAGAAGAAATGGATAGATTCCTGAACACATACAACCTACCTAAATTGAGCCATGAAGACAACAAAACCTAAACAGACTCATTACCAAGATACAATTGAGCCAGTAAAAAAGACCCTCCCCAAAAAAGAAAAGCCCTGGACCAGATGGTTTCACTGCTGGGAGAAATTATTTGCAAATTATGCAACTGATAAAGAATTAATAACCAGAATATATAAAAGGATCAAGAAACTCCACAACAAAACAAAAAACCCAGTGAAGAATGGGCAAAGGACTTAAACAGGCATTTTTCAAAAGAGAAAATCCAAATGGCCAGGAGACCAATGAACGAATGCTCAGGATAACTAGCCATCAGGAAAATGCAAATCAAAACCATTATGAGGTTTCACCTCAACTGTTAAATTGCTTTCCTACAGAAATCAACAAATAACAAATATTGTTGAGGATGTATGGAAAAAGGTACCCTAATCCACTATTGGTAGGAATGTAAACTGGTCCAGCCACTGTGAAAGACAGTATGGAGATACTTCAGAAATCTGTATATAGACCTACCATATGATGCAGCCCATCCCACTCCTTGGAATTTACCCACAGGAAATGAAATCAGCATATGAAAGAGTTATCTTATCCCCATGTTTATTGCATCTCACTTCACAATAGCTAAGATATGTAATCAATTTAAATGTCTGTAAACTGAAGACTGGATAAAGAAACTATTGGCTATGTACACCATGGAATACTACACAGTGGTAAAAAAAAAATGAAATCCTGTCATTCGCAACAAAATGGATGAAACTGGAAAACATCATACTTAGTGAAATAAGCCAATCCCAAAAGGAAAAATACCATATGCTCCCCCTGATCTGTGATAACTAATAGAGCACCTAAAAGGTAATCTATAGAAGTGTAGTTGACACTTTAAGATGCAATAACTTTGAACAGCCCTTGTCTTGCCTGTTAAGGAACATTTTTTCATACGATTTGTTGAATTCTTTGCATAGTATAGAGTTAATCTTATGGTATAAAGTTAATTGAAAATAGATCTTAGTGAAAAGTAAGAAAGAGAGGAGGAAGAAGGGTGGGAATGCTGGTGGGAGGGTGGGCATGGTAGTAAGAATTACTATGTTTCTAAAATTGTATTTATGAAATCATGACGTTTGTACACCTTAAATAAAATATTTCTGGGAAAAAAAAAGGCAAGATGGTGTGATCTATTTCCTTAGATATTAACAACAACACACAATAGTCAGAGAGGGCTTTAAAATGTGTATAAGAATTTCAGAAATATAAATCAATATTTATACTGGCTTCTAAAATTGTTTTATAAAC